ACATCTGCCATGTTCCTTTCTGTTTTAACCCCTTAAGGACGGAGGGCGTACTATTACGCCCTGCAGGAGCCGGCTCTAAACGCCGGCGGGCGTAATAGTACGCCCTCACTTTAATGGCCGCCCACGTGGCCGGCGCTATTCGCCCGCTGCAGATCGCGGTCGGGGGGGATGCCCGGCCCCCCAGGCAACCCCCCCTGTGGCCGGGGACCGCGATCTCGTCGGCTGAGCACCGCAATAACAACGACTTTCTGCAATGCAGATGTGATTAGAGTTCCTGGCCCCCAGGCAGTCCCCTGGTCGATGACACGCGATCACCACTGTCTGAGATCGCGGTGACGGGCTGTCACTGCGATCTCAGAAAATATATGTCCTGGCGTCAAATATAGGGCTTGTGTTTCATTTGTTTCACATTAAAATTCGCCAGATTGGTTACGTTGCCTTTGAAACCCTATGGTAGCCCAAGAATGAAAATTACCCCTATGATGGCATACCATTTGCAATAGTAGACAACCCAAGGTATTGCAAACAGGGTATGTCCAGTCTTTTTTAGTAGCCACTTAGTCACAAACACTGGCCAAAATTGGCATTTTTTGCATTTTCACACACAAACAAATACTAACGCTAACTTTGGCCAGTGTTTGTGACCAAATGGCTACTAAAAAAGACTGGACATACCCCATTTGCAATACCTTGGGTTGTCTACTATTGCAAATGGTATGCCATTATGGGTGTAAATTTCATTCCCGGGCTACTATACAGTCTCAAAGGCAGCGTAACCAATCTGGCGAATTTCAATTTCAAATGTAACGTGCTATATTTGACCCTGTAACTTCCCAAAACGCCATAAAACCTGTACATAGGGGGTACTGTTTTACACGTGAGACTTTGCTGAATACAAATATGTGTATTTTATTGCAGTAAAAGCAAACAGTATTATGACACTGACCGTTAAAATGTCATGTAGAACTAAAAAAATCAAAAAAAATCTTTTCTCCCATTTTTTTCATATTAAATTATGTTTCATAGCTAAATATTTGATATTAAATGAAAGCCCTGTTTCCCCTGAATAAAATGATATATAATAAGGGTGGGTGCATTTACTATGAAAGAGGTGTATTACGGTTGGACAGACATGTAGCGCAAATGCCAGGTTTTGTTTACATTTTGTTTCGTTCACACTGTGTACATTTGGCTCCGTCCTTAAGGGGTTAATTCGTTTTTATACTTTTTGACCTGACATCACCCTTGCTGATTTTTAAGAAGCACAAAGAATCCTAGGTGGGAATTATAGCACCTAAACGCTACGCACCGAGCAGTGAGTCTGCTCGGCAAAGTGTGAGTACATTTCTTATATTTTATTTTGATGTCTAAGATACAGTGAGAACTATAATCTGCTACTTTTTATCTTTTCGGTTGGATTGTTTTACTGCTGCACAAGATTGTTAGCTTGGAAAACTACATATATCCTTGAGTGGGGATTATTCCATGCTTTTCTAACCACAGCTGGATTTTACTCTCTGTACTTGAGATTAAAACTTTTCCTCCTCTAATCATCGGAGTGGCCATGAAGAAGTCAAATAAGATGGAAACCTCATTTTTTAATATAATGTGAGGCAGATAACACTGATGCTAGATAAGCATGATGTTCCAGGGACTTTCTTAAACAACAAGACCAATGTTAGTGTTAGGGTCAAGGCAAGGGTTAGTAATCTTATACTCCTATGCAGAAGATGCTATTCACAGATCCTGACAATAATTCCACCTGTGAGAAGGTTCGACTCAAATGGCAGCATCTGTTATATGGACGAATGATTTATGGATGCTTATAGAATCCCAAGATTTATTTTCCCAATTAAACACTTTACTGTTAGATTTTTTTAGGTTAATGTTAATGTTAGGGTAAATGCTAGGCTTTTACTTTAATCTTAATGCACCACTGGAACATGTATGTCCTAGGTTGCCTGGGGTTACTGTCCTGGGAGCCAGTTGCTACTTGGTTCTTAAATTTGGAGGAGGACTTAATAAAAAATCCAGAAGTATAATGCTCAATAATATGTATAATGTATAATGCACAATAATATGTCCCAGCAGTGCCCCCTAATCTAGGGAAGGTCAGGGCATATATGTCCCAGCTTTTGAAAATGGTTTGATTTTTTTACCAGGGGCCCACTGGGCACCACTGCCTCTATTACAGCTGCAATAGAGCCAGAATCTCCTAATTATTATCTTCCGTTATATGGCTAAGTCAAAAGAATGGTCCACAAAATTAAGAGAAGAGATCATTGCTCTTCACAGACAAGATCGCAAAGTCACTGAATGTTCCTAGAGACACCATTAATTATTATCTTCCGTTATATGGTTTGATTTTTTTACCAGGGGCCCACTGGGCACCACTGCCTCTATTACAGCTGCAATAGAGCCAGAATCTCCTAATTATTATCTTCCGTTATATGGCTAAGTCAAAAGAATGGTCCACAAAATTAAGAGAAAAGATCATTGCTCTTCACAGACAAGATAGCAAAGTCACTGAATGTTCCTAGAGACACCATTAATAGCATAGTTCGCAACTTCAAAATTGAGGGAACAGTTAGTACACTACCTGGACCCGGTTGAAAAAGGAAGCTGTCAATGGCTGCAACCAGATTTCCGAAAAGGCAGATTGTGAAAAACCCTTGAGTGACTGCAATGTTTGTTAGTTTCTACTTGAAGAAGCCTGTGCAGGTGAAACGCATTTAGAAACTTTTATGAGTCTGCGATAAGCCCTGACTCATTTGCTGAGAGTGTAAGCTGATCACTGTCAGCCAATGAGCTAAGCCTTTCACTGCCGAGTGTAGGTCAGATAGAGATCTTCCAGTTCTCCTGTAGCTATAGGGGAGGCAGGGAGCAGCGCATAGCTGGCCCCATGTAAGAAGTTGAACAAGAGCAATGCCATATTACAAAAAACTAAGTTTCTTTTTATGTATTTTATTAGTGTGTTGTACCTACAATGTTCCTATAAATAGGGCCATGTAGACAAAGAACAGATTGTATATTGTTATCTACTGTGTAATTCTATAAACATGTTACAGACTACAGAGGTTCAATAAGTCTCTAAAGACTTACAGTCATCTTCCTACACTACGGAGTTAATGCCTAATGTTATTGCCAGATTTGCTTTCTTGTATTATAGGAAACAAATGAAGAGAGGCATGCCTTAAGCACTAGAGAGCCTAAAAGTAGCTTGCATGTGGATAGAATCTGTTCCACCGCTTGCTCTTATTTGAATACCCCATGCTTTCATGTTTTGCCAAATTCAGTGCTGTCGCAGTCACTTGATTAGATTTGGATTGTTATGTGGATGTTATGACTGTGTATATAATACAGCAGTATCATTTCAGTTCTCATTGTTTTTTCCTTTCCATTAACTCCACTGAACCCTTTCACTACTGAGTTATTTGGATTAAAAAAAATTTTTTAAATGTACTTGTAACTGATCTTTGTATGTTCGGCAGGGACATAATTCCAAGACTTAATGAATAATGTAAAGATATTGTTATATATATATATAGATATATATATATATATATATATATAATGCAAAAAAAAAAAAAAAAAAAGATCTGCAATCTCAGCTTTTATATAAATAGCAATTTTCTTTATAGTTTTCTGGTCCATCTATACAAACTATTAAACTCTTCAAGACAAATGACATGCGTCAAAATAACTAACGATTATCCTACATCTGGTCCTGAAGGGTTTAGAAAGGTTTTTCCTTTTCATATTGCATAATGGAATTAAAGATGTACGAAGAAAATAGACAAGATCAGAACTATTGGTGTAGAGTCTGAAATAGCCTTATTGCAACATACGGTGTGTGTAAATTTGCTTTTATAGTTCCTCTGCTAAATGCAGAGTGCTGAGTAGAGCCTTGGAATTGTCTGTCTACTTAAGGGGCATGTGAGCCTATCCAGGGTCGAATTTCACATTAGGCTGAGTAGGTACCTACCTCAGGAGGTTTTTTTTTGGAGCTTAGGTGGACTGGTGAGGAATAATACGTACCAGGAGCCTTGGACCAGTGTCCCCTGTAGACTTGTCAGTCTCCTTTGCTTGATATCCAAGCTCTAGAAACAGTACAGAGGATGTATAACTCAGCACTGGGGGGGGAGGGGGGGGAGTGTGTGTGTGTGTGTGTGTGTGTGTGTGTGTGTATATATATATATATATATATATATATATATATATATATATATATATATATATATATATATATATATATATATATATATATATATATATATATATATATATATATATATATATATGGATAAGAGAGTGCACTCTCAGGACTTTGAAAAAATAGTTAATTTATTCCAGCAGGTATAACATCAAAGTTTGCCGACGTTTCGACCCATTCGGGTCTTTCTCAAGGTGGACCTTGAGAAAGACCCAAATGGGTCGAAACGTCGGCAAACTTTGATGTTATACCTGCTGGAATAAATTAACTATTTTTTCAAAGTCCTGAGAGTGCATCTCTTTATCCTCTATATATTTTATCTACATGGGATTGCACCCAGGCGATATTGAGCTACACATTTGAAAGGGTGAGTGCCAAGAAAAACATTGCTTTATATATATATATATATATATATATAACAGCCCCTGCCGTTCTACTATCAATCATAGAAGAGTAAGTGATCCTTTAAACTCTACATGCCTGTACCCTAAAAACCATTTACCCCCCTAAACCTAAACTCTTTTCTTAGTCCCTGGGATCATAAAATGGTTATTGGTATGCATAAATACAAAAGGGAAACGTAATGACAGAATATAAATTTGAAGAATTTAATTAGGATCTACCATTTGGCGATCAGACTACATCAAAAGAGCTTGTTTAAAAATAAAAAATTAAAATTAAAAAAAAATCTAATGGCTAAATGCTTGAGTGTGAGGGACTGTCACTTTCAACTGTCACCTCAAAATTATTTTTTAAATATTTACATAGTTATATAGTTAAAGGGACGCTGTAGTCACTATAAGCATTTCATCTCTTTGAATTGGTTATAGTGCCTGGAGTACCCTGACACTGTCCCTCCATTCAGTGTTGCACCATGTTCGTGCAGTATGCCACAAAATAAGAGTCCCTGGCCACCCACAGTCCGGCCCCTTCAGTATGTGTAGCTAAGGCAGAGATTACACACTTCCTTGTTGTCATACCCACTCATACCGTCAGTTGGAACTCTGACAGGCTAAAAGCAGTCAGCTGACACTCTCAGCCAATCACAGCTGCCCATTTCTGCTCAGGCTAATACTTCCTTATTAGCCAAAGCAGCACAGAGGGGATGGATTGCTGGGGACTCTTGTTTAGCATTAAAACATTAAAACTTTAAAAACTGTTTAATGCTGATAGAAATGATGGGACCAGAAGACTCCAGACACTATAACCAGTTTAATGAGATGAAGCAGATACAGTGCCTACGGTGTCCCTTTAATAACACAGTTAATAAAATAACTATCCCTTTCATCAAGTTTTGAAAGGAAATGATTTTTTTTAAATGAAGTACATGAAAAAATGAGAAACTCATCTCTATCTTTAGTATATGACAGGATCCTTTAGCCATATACATGCACCTTGTGTGTATAGTGTTTGCAAACCTACACTTATTCTCCATAGTTTTCCCTCTTTGCCGGAGTGAAGCAGGGAAGACCATAGAGACTCATTTTCCAAACACTAAAGGTGGGTGTGAAGAATCCCCCTCCATTCATTCGGTACTTTCCCTCCCTGCTACTTTATCCATGGATTTATTACTGTGACGAAGTGCCCTTCGCCACTTGTGCCTGGACATGACTGCTTGCCCGCCTCTTGCCCTGTGACTATGGACCCTGGGAGATTTGGCCCGTTCAATTCAGTATGATAGGAGTTATGTATTTTTGTATCCTTTTGTGTTTTACTGGGAACATGTGCTCAATGGAGTCTGCCTCTATCCCTGGATATAATTGGATTATGTTCCCCATTGTCTCCAAGATAGAGGGCTCTGTAAAACCGGTTTGGGCCAGATATCCATGCTGCCAGCCAGGCCCCAAAAGATACTTTACTAACTTCTGAACCCCTGGTCTGATTCATGCCATTTTTTGATATGTTGTTTCCCTGAATGGATTGATTGTGAATATATAATTTTTATGTGAATGTGATGTATATTTTAGAAGTTATGAATATGCTGTAAAAACTGTATTTTTCTTACCTGTGATAATTGAATCTTCTATTGTATAAGATAATTGAATTACAGGCAGAGGGGAGGATTTTGTGTGGGTTGTAACCTCTGTTTTATTGGCTACTGTAGATAACGTGTGTGTCCCTCCCCTGCATGGGAGCAGGGCATAAAAGAAACTGTAGCTTAAATACCTGTTGTTGTTACTTCCAGTAAAGTCTTGTTCCAGCATTAAGCCTTGGCTCATGTTTTGGGGATTGGAAAACTACACTCTGGGGATTGCTATAATCACTTACTCCCTAGAGTAAACTCTTGCAATAGCTTGATTTGTTCCTGCTACGCTCTCTGGATTTAGGAGAGGTTCACCCACTGGGAGCTGGATCCTAGTCGTGGATCCAGGGTGGGTGGAGACAGCGAGACCCCGGCGCAGCTGTATCGCTGGAAGTGGTGTCTGCAGTGCTGATGGTGTCAGTTGGAGTGCTTGGAGTCCTCAGCGAGCACTAGGCGCATCGATTGGCGGAGGTACTCACTCAGAGTGCCAGCGTTCCGTCACAGTGGGGATGCGTTTTTTTTTTTGTTTTTTGTTTTTTTACAAATACTTAATTGAAAAAAAAATATTTTTCCTTTCAAAACTCGATGAATGGATTATTGTTTTAAAAATAGTTTTGAGGTGACAGTTTTCCTTTAAGAAAGCACTGATGCACATCGATGTGATTCTAAGGATGCATATAGCTGTAGACCAGGATGAGGGAGCTGCAATGCTACTGATGGTCAGAGATTATCTGAGGGAAGTGTGGGTGGCACCTTTCATTGGCCATTGGACTTATTCTTGTTACATGCAAAATGGTTGGGTCACCGCTAGGAACAACTAATTTCTAGTAGATTGATCCCACTTTAAAAATGTAATACAAAGATAAAGGTGGGCAATTCTTGCGTACACCACTAGAAGAAATCCCTAGCTACTTACTAATAAGGTATAATTGAAGATTATGCTAGCGTTAGTGTACTTATAATCTTAATTTTAGTAATGACAGGAGGCGAGTATTTTGCATAACTCTCTTTACTAAACTCCATAGCAGTAAAGAAAGTGAAACATTTAAACCAATCAAAATGCAAATAGGGAGTATATCATCCCAGCAAATAGGCTCCTCCTCCTCTTTCAGAAGCGACATCGGAACAGGGAAGAAGGTAGCGATAAAGTCTGTAGTAAACATCAACTGTGGTATCCAACTGGAAAAGATGAACTTCTCGGCATGAGTGGGAACCGGCACCAACGGGTGATGGAAGTCGTCCGATAGAAGGCGTGGTCTTTATCTGAAGAATCGTAGTCCAATGATTATGCCGCAGAAGTTGCAGGATGAAACGAAGTTAAACTGAAATAAGAATGTGAGAAGGTTAGGCACCGGTCTGGCAACTGTTTGTGATATAGGTATTGATCCATCGGATAGCATTGGAACAGTGTATATTATGAATTCAGAGAATAGTCTAACAGTAGGTAGATAGGCTGATGGTAATAGAGGATACAATATGCCAACATGTTGGTTGACTGAAAAGAAGGAAGAAAAGGAGACAGTAGTAGCTGTATGAATAGAGTAGTTCCCCTCCTCTCCGGGTGGGAAGGGTGGGAAAATACTCGCCTCCTGTCATTACTAAAATTAAGATTATAAGTACACTAACGCTAGCATAATCTTCAATTTTATCACATGACAGGAGGCTTCCTATTTTGCATTTTTAACGCTGTTGTATAAGAGACATGGCTGCACCGGAGTTCGGTCGGAAGTAGAAGGTGCGGAACGTAGATTCTCTAGACCAATCCGCGGAGTGTAGGATATCCGTTATGGAGGCACCCGCCATGAAGGCTGAGGATGCTGCTGCTCCGCGTACGGAGTGGGCTCCGAATGTAGTGTCCACGCCGGCTAGCGATAGTAACCATCGAACCCATCTCGCTAGGGTGGTTGTTGTAATAGGAACATGTGGTCTAACGTATGATACTAAGAGTTGACCTGAGGGCGTAGACCTGAGTGGTAGGGTAGTTTCTACATACTGATGTAGAGCGGAGACGACACAGAGTTGTGGATCCGTGGGGAAGAATGGATAAAATACAGATGTGGAGTCCGTCTTAGTGCGACGAGATATCCTGAATGTTACTCCTTCTGGGGAGGTAGAAAAAGCGTCTATGTCCAGCGCTCGAATGTCTGACACTCTGCGGAAGGAGACCAGGCAAAGCAAGACTGTGAGTTTTGCTGAGAGTTGTCGGAGGGAGAGTCTGTCGTTAGTTGTCCAGTCTCTCAGGAATCGGAGGATTACGTCGACGTCCCAGAATCGAGAATATTTCGGGCCTGGAGGGCGTTGTAATCGAATGCCCCTCAGAAGTCGACACACCAGTGGGTCCTTGCCAACCGGAATCCCTAGTATAGGGACATGAGCTGCTGAAATAGCTGAACGAATTACGTTGAGTGATCTGTAAGACCGACCTAATGAGAATAGGTGGGATAGGAAGTTCAAAATGGCTGAAATAGGGGCCGTAAATGGATCGATGTTCCGTTCCAAACACCAAGTGGACCAGGAGTTCCAAGCGGATAGGTAGCATCTTCTAGTTCCAGGGGCCCATGAGTCCCATAGTAGCTCTTTAGCAGCCTGCGATAGTTCGCCGACTTGCCAGGAGCCCCTGAAAGTGTCCAAGCCACCAGATGGAGACGGTCGTCCAGGATGAGTGGATGAGGGTGTCCTCTTGGATCTGTGAGAATGTACTGATGATGGGGTAATAGAAGAGGATCCTTGTATGAAAGAGCTAGGAGGTCCGGGAACCAAGGTTGTCCTCTCCATAGTGGAGTGATGAGCACTAGAGAGGTTTGTTGATTCTTCAGGTAGTGTATGGTCCTCGCTATCATGGCAAAGGGGGGGAAGGCGTAGGCTCCCGTGATCGGCCATGGTTGTAGGAATGCGTCCACTGCAGCGCTCTCCGGATCCGGGAGCCAGCTGAAGTACAGTTCCGTTTGTCTGTTGTTGTGGGACGCAAATAGATCCAGGTGGAGTGGTCCTCGGCGATCCGCAATGTGGTTGAAGATTTGTGGATCTAGTTTCCAGTCGCTGGTGTCCCGCCAGTGACATGAGAACCAGTCTGCTGTGAGGTTTGTCTCTCCTGGGAGATATTCTGCCGTTAGAGAGATGTTGCGGGGTAGGCAGAAATCGAAGATCTCCTTCGTGATTTCTGACAGGAGGCGGGAACGGGCTCCGCCTAGGCGGTTGATGTAGCGGACTGCAGAGATGTTGTCCATCCTGAGGAGGATGCAGCAATCCGACTTGTCCTTCGCTAGGCTTCGGATGGCGAATGACCCTGCTAGGAGTTCCAAGCAGTTTATATGCATGTTGAGGTCTTGGGATGTCCAGGTTCCTCCTGTCGATGTATTTTCGCTCGTCGCGCCCCATCCCCAGAGGCTGGCGTCTGATTCCAATATCATATCGGGAGCCCTTCCGAAGATGGCTCGGCCGTTCCATGCCTCCATGCTGTCTAGCCACCATCTGAGTTCGTCTCTGACTTCTTCTGTCATCGGGATTGGCTGATCGTATGAGGGTTTTTTTCTGAGGAAGGAAGCTTTGAGGCGCTGCATCGCCCTGTAGTGGAGGGGACCGGGGAATATAGCTTGTATGGAAGCCGAGAGAAGTCCCACAATGCGTGCGAGGGCGCGGAGTGGAATGGTGTGGCAGCGGATGGCCCTGCGTAATTCCTTGCGAATGGCTGAGATTTTTGCTGACGGTAGCCGTAGGGTGCTGGAGATGGAATCTATCTCGAATCCCAGAAATTGTACTGTTTGTGATGGGGAAGTAGCCGATTTCTGAAAGTTCACTATGAAGCCCAGGGATGACAGGAGATCCGTGGTATACCGTGTGTGACGTACCAGTCGGTGTCTGTCTGAGCAGAACAGCAGGAGGTCGTCCAGGTATATGATGCAACGAATTCCTTGCGCTCGAAGATGTGCGACCACGGGTTTCATCAGTTTGGTGAAACACCATGGGGCCGAACTGAGGCCGAAGGGGAGGCACGTGAATTGCCAAGGAAGGCCTTGCCAGTGGAAACGAAGGTATTGTCTGCAGGATTGGTGGACGGGTACTGATAAGTAAGCGTCCTTGAGGTCTAG